CATAGCGAGAAATAGACACTAGAAGCAAAATGAAAGAGGAATGATGATAATAATAAATGAATCGAATTTCCCGGAAATTGCGAACCATTGTTTTTTCTTTCTGTGCGAAAATGAAATAGAGAGACGTCACAAGTTAATTGGCAAGTAGCGAGAGAAAAGCAGTGTGACAGGATTTCACATTAGCTCTCCTTGTTTCTTTAGTTTTCTTCTTTTTGTCCTTTACCCCTATTGCGTCTGAACAACTGTGACTTTCAATATCTGTCATGGAATGCTGTGTTTGATACTAGGGTGAACGTCACATACGAGCCATTGTATAACAATATCACAAAAAACTATGAGAGGAGCTCGGTCAATTAAAATATGTGAGAAACTGTCGATATTGTGGCTATGAACTATCCAATGGTTTTGTCAAGAGACATTTCTGGCGTTTGCTAAATGCTATGTGTCCCAGAAAAAGATGATGTTGAGAGTTATACACATCACATTGGAACTCAATAACATCTTGAATATTTTTCCGTTAGTTTAAAAACTCATTTTATAAATCAAAAAAACTTCGATGTTGGTTGATTTTTAATTTAGAAATAATGGAAAATCAATATTTTAATTGATAGAAAATTGATGAAATTTATCAGTAAAACCTTTTGAACTTTAATTCCTCTGTGAAGAATTTTTTTTAGTGAGAAGTTTTGGAATAATTAATTCAATTGAATTTTCTGTGAGATTTTTATGACGTTATATTTATAGTAGCAAAGTTATTAACCGTCAAAGTAAGAAAATCTTCTTTAATTTTTAAATTCAATATAATAATTAACTAAAAGTTCATAAGGAACTGAAAACTACTTTGAATTTTTTAATGATAAGATTTTTATTCATTTCTTTTACATTTTATTAACTAAATTAAATTTTATTAAGTATTTAATTTCAAAAAATGGTTCATTTGAAATTTATTTAAATAATTAACTTAAATAAGTCATTTTGGATTGATAAAAAATATGAGGTTAGAGGAAACCAAGCCTTATTGTTCCATAAAATAATTGATAGATGATTTAAGATATAGTTTGGGAGATAATTTAATTTTTTCCCCCAAATGACTTTCCGATAGTTGATATTTCATCGAAAGCATTCCGTAGGAAAATCGATAAATATTTCGAGTATATTCATTATGAAGACAAGTATATAAAAGTATGAGATTCATTCCAGAACTCCCGAGCATGAGAAAACCATTCTCTTCAGTTATTTCTTTGGCACAATTCAGTCCAACTTTACTTGCGACGTAATTTAATGCTAACTTTTGTGGTACTCCTTGTATAAGATATAGCAGTTTCAATTCTACTTCACATCGTGGAATAAAATGGAATCTTCTGATCTCTTGTGTTATATCCAACTCTTTAATCTCTCCCATTGTCTACAAGATACGTTAAATTAATATTAATATAAAACAATCGTCGTAATAAAGAAAGCATTAACAGCTCAAAGCGGTTTCAACCACAAGGAATATCATTAACCGGAAAAGAAAAATATTGTCAATCTGTTTTTGCAACGTTGCAATATACATTCATCATTGTTGGTACAGTAAAAGTTATTTCTTCGATCTGTTGTGGTAGCAGAATATTTTTTATTTCATCTCCAAGGCCAATATTAAATGTTTTTTTAATAAAAAATTTTTTTTTCCCCAAGTATTGACCGAAATTCACTGAGAAGGTGGATTTTACTGTCGTTCGTGCTATTGTCTGTGTGTGCAAAAAAAACAATGGTGTTAAATCCTTCTGAATCGAAGAATATGGTTGTGAGAGAGGGTGTAGTATTGAGAGGAATAGAAGTTAGAGGCTGAGAGAAATGGACTCGGACTGGTAGTTGGGTTATTCCGCAAGGGAATCGAAGGTTCGGATCAACAATAGAATGAATCGATAGTGAGAACGAGAGTGTGATGACTGCTGCTTGAATCGTCATTTGGCTCTTGGGAATTAATGAGAATGTTGGTAGAATAATCGACTGAATGGACTGTGCTCTCATTTACGAGTTTAATGTGTGCGGGCTTTTCAACGAAAGGTGAGACATGGGACAGCGGGTGGTAAAGCAAAGTGAGAAAGTAGAAGCGGACGTGGAGTGAAGGCAAATAACGAAAATGTTAGGAATGAACCTTGGTAACTTGGAAACTACACAGTAGCAGTGCGTCTTGTGGCGCCATGGAGTCTCGGATACGCCTCCAAACGTGAAACCAACAAGAACCTACTCTCCATCGTCGCGTCCTTCTATATATGTAGTGAAATTGTAATTCACGCCTCGAGCCTGCGGCGACGTTATTTACTCAGTCCGCTGACGCTTTAATCGGACACGGAACTTGCCATTGTGGCCGTTATTCGGCGTCAACGCCTGTGCGATATTTTGCCCCTTACACACCCCTTTCAAATTTGCTTTACCTTCAAGTATTTACTGTTTAATGCTATTAATATGAGCAATCAAACGACCATTTGCTGTATAAACCCTCGGTTGAGGTGATTTCGAATTTCGCCCAGAGTTAGTCAATTAAAAAAATACCGAAAGAGGTTTATTTCATTTATAAATCAAATTCCAAAATGGTTTTGTGTACTTTATGAAGTTGAAATTTTTTATCACCATTCCATATGGTATTTGATAATTACGTATGTCTGTGAAGTTTTTCTGTTGAAAAGGTTGATAAAAGTCTTGAAAAAATTTTTAAAAACTTTCCGACAACAGATATGGGTTTATTCGAAGTTAGTTCGACTTCACCTTTAGATTGAAAGATTCTCGTGGAAAATTATTTTGAAATTCTGATTGAGCTATTTCGTTCTTATTGAATTATTCAGGAAACTCTTTTTGATTCTACTCAGATAAATAATTATCACAAAGTACATGAATTGTTAATGAAGTAAAAGTGTATAAAAAGCCTTTATTTTTTTTTTTATAGTTTATAGAATTTTTTAAATATTAACACCTGGAAAATTTTAAAATTACAAGCTGTAATTTTATTATTGAAAATTTTTCGAATTAAATATTTTATTTTCTTCATGTAGTGGAAAGAAAATTTAAGAGTTTTATATGACTAGGAAAAATGAACATAGACTTATATTTTTTTATGAACAAAAGCTCTGTCTTGACCTATGTCACTTGAAAATACTTGAAATAACCCGAGTCACGATATTACTATTTTTTTTAATACTTCAGAGTCCTGATTTTTAGGTATTTGAAATTATAAAAAAAATTTCAGTTCCTAGTTCAGTACTTTTTTTAGTATTATTAATAAATTCTCAATTTATTTGCATTTATTTAAGGTGCTTAATTAAAAAATAACATGGAAAATAATTATCTTAATAAATATTCGAGAGACAATAAATTTTAATTAATTAAATATTATTCTTCTCCACTGCTGATATTGTTTATGTGTGTTCGATTATTTGTTACAATTTATTTTAAATTAATTACTGCAGAGTATTCTTCAGGGACTCTAATAATCTAAAAAGACTTAAACAAGTGCCTATATTTCGACTCAGGAGATACTTAAACATAGCTACTGAGATGAACCAGAATAGTTCATCTTACTTAGAGATGACTGCACAATTTGGTCCAACAAATTGCATAATTTACAATTCACTCGTGAGTTGATGGATTTCTTCGATTGACCGCAAGTCCGCACTAGCTAGAAGATCATCAATCATAACCAGAGTGATTCATTATCTCAACTTGTTTTATTTTTTTTACACTTTTAGGTGCGAGCGTATATTATTCTCTCGATAAATAAACAATTTTCGTTTCCATGCCGGTCTTGTGGCTTTGGCTGGCTTTATTAATCACACCCGGTCGTCGATCGAGTGAACTAAATCCCCGATAAATGGATAGCTTCGTGAGTAAACTCTTTTCTCATTTTTCGTTGATTTATTTTCAATGTATGAACGTTCGTCTGTATGTATATGAAACTCAATGTTGCACTTAGATGATTGCTACATTTCCATCATTTTTTATTACTTTTGCTTTCTCCTTTCCTCGGCACTTTTTTGACAGCACGGGGATTTACATGCACAGATATGTTATAAAGCGCCTGACCATAGAGTTACTTTATCTACTAGCAGCGAACAGTAGATGAGACTATCAGAGGTTTTAAATGTTTATTTTTCAGAGTTCAAGATGAACATCAGAGATTGAAAGTGAAATGAGAGAATAACGTAAACGAGGTGTTTGAATGCTATTAAAAACGGAGGCGTTAAAAAATAAACTTAAATAGCAGTGAAATAACCAAGAGATACGGAGCTGGCAAAGAAAACGGATGCAAGGTAGGAAAAGTATGATAAATCGTTTGCGCTGAAAATTAAATAGCTAACGAAAGTTGTTCCTTTTCCTTGGTGGTAGTGTAACAGTGATGAAGTTGTTAGAGCTGAGGAAATTTGGCGACACGGTGCGCACGGACTTTCGCACTTTAATTCACTTTCCTCAGGGACCTCTTCTCTTACCACGTGCCATCCAGACACTGTGCACTGTGATGTGCGACAGTTGGTGTCGAGTTAAAATACTACGTACGGCCAAGAACTTTAACAATAAAACTTTCTTTAAATTATTTTCAAGTATAATATGTAGATATCTTTCAACTGGATGAAATAAATTGATGAAAAAGAAAGATATCCAGTGTATTTGACATTCGTGACTTGAAATAAAATATTTATCTGGCCGAAAGAATGTTGTGGTATGATAAGGAATTATCGAGAGTAGGTGGATATGTATCACGCAAGACGATTGTGCACGATCAGAGAAGTGATAATTAATCACAGCTATTGATGAGGTAAGTGAGAGAGGATTTAGTGGAGTGTGTGTGCGAGGTAAATTCTGAAGTGAGAACAAGAAGAGGAGAGAAGCAAGTGTAGACCTATATAACGATCAAGAGAGCGTCTGCGCGGGGTGAATAAAACGTTGACGCTAGCAGTGGAGGGATGAAGTAACCACAGAGGATAGCGTTTGCTATTGCCTCCCTCAGTCGGGATGCCGTTCGTGCACCCTCGGGTTCTCCAGTATCACCGCGATGATCGGTGTGCTTAGAGCACCGGTAAAGACGCCCGTCGTGGTTACGAGCTTCGCGCTACTTCTTATTTTTCCCGGACTCGCGCGGACCGACGTACTTCCGACAGTCGGTGAGTGATTCTTTGCTATCATTTACAGTTCTATTCAACGCTTAAGGGAAGAGAAAAAAAATCATCCTTTTTGTTGCTCACTTTTTTGTGTTATTTGCTGTTGATATTTAAATGTTCAATTATACAGTTACATGAATATTAATTAATCGCACAAATCTGTTTAATACCAAAGGATATCTCTGGAAAGCACTGACAAAGTATAATTGAAAGGTTCTCGCGTGATTTCGATTATTTTAACTGGCAGTGAAACATTGTTCCGACTACCGATTTGCTGAAACGATCGATCACTTGTGATGTTGATCGATCGATTGATGTATGCATATGTATACACACGTAGATACATAACTTGTTGGTCGGTGAAATAAAAGTTAGGCTGAATTACTCGTATCAGGTCGCACATTCGAGAACTGTTCACAAGGGAATAGCAATTATGTTTCAGGATTATCGTGCGTGACGTTGCTGAACGACAATGCAACGAGTTTCGAAAATTCGATACGCATATATATATACAATGTGCTAGACTGAACATTTGTCACTATAGTTGGGTTGGTATGAGAGAAAATACCAAAAGGGTGAAAGCAAAGCGGGATTTTTGCAGTGTAAAGGTCCTTGTTTTATTCGCTCCTCTCTTTTTCGCCAATACTCTTCTTGCTGCGCTTCACACGCATGCAACCATGCGAATCACTCTATCGTTTGGACCAACGTTTGCACGTATTTACGTGGCAAAGAGGTCCTAACAAGTTTGAGTGTACACAGCTTTGAACTCGTCAGCAATTGCAGTGAATTTGATTCTCGTTACATTGTTTTCTGTGATTCCAAGAGTTCACACATTTGATATATATTTTTTACGCTTTCATATTAATTAGTGAAATTGAGTAAAAAAAATTCTTTATTTGTTGTCGATTAATGTTCCTAACTTTTTTTTATAGTGAGAAAGAGACTATTGTAATGAATGGAAATGCGCTTAATTTTTTTCGTGATTCAATATGACAGGGGAAGAAATTAAAGTACGAAAGAAAGAGAATTTTATAAGTAAAATAAAAAAAAAAATATATTCGCTTCAATGCATTTTCACTTGCTGTACTTTTTTCCTTACTTCTTTTTGAACTGTTTCAATACGATTATATCCAACGCCTTTTTTAAATTATCCAAAGAGTCCAGTAAAGGTAAAAGCATTTGAGTTGAACTCTCCAATAAATCGAATGTAACACTTACAAACGCTAGCAAAAGAATCAAATGAACTGTATATCATAAATTATGAAAATTCGTAATCATTTCAAAGTGCAAAAGCTTTTAATCGTTCAACATCTTACTTACTTGCGATTTCTTTTTTTTTTCTTATTTATATTTGATATAAATTTGATCATGGATTTAGTAATAATAAATATTTTCTCGCTTTGTATCAATAGTTGGAGTGAAAAATTGTATTCCACTCACGGAGATTTTAACGATTTTTATTAATGGTCCGAGCATTGGTGCGAAGACCGTTTTAGGTAGCTGCATATTGACCGATTTGACAGATACAATTTTTTTTTTATCGTTCAAAGTTAAATATTAAATTTTTTTCTGAATTTCGTGGAAACTTTTACGATGACATATTCATCAGATGAAGTGCAATAGTAAAGATGTTTTTATTTGTAGCCAATGTTTTGCAAATTAACTAAATTAAAAATTTATATTCAAACTAATAACTAAAATGATACAAAAATAGAAATTGTTCTCTTCGTTGTAGAAACATTGATAAATTTCAAAAAAGCTATCGGAAAATTTCTGTTTATTAATACCATGAATATTTCAAGAATATTCATCGACATTTTTTTTTTATTCAAAAATTTTTCTGTCAAAAATGTAAAAAATAAAAACTATAAAATGACCAATCGGACTTGGACAGATAGAAAAATTCTTTACTCATTTTTCTCACAGCTAACAAATGATTGTACACATAAAACTGTAACAGATATTATGCATCAATAATTTTAAAAAGTAATAAAATCAAACGAAAATTTTTATTTCCAGTTACTATTGCAGTACAAATCGTTAATCTGCTATAAATAACGATCACTTGAAATTTGCGTTAAATCAATAATTACCAATATTGCTGAAGAATAATTGCAAAAATCACCCACCCATACAGATACACACACACATATTCATGCTTTATAATAGCAATAATTAATTTAAACGTAAAAAGTATTCACAAATAAAACCATAAAGAAATCAATGGAGTATTGTAACGTGAGGATATACTCAAGAAAGTTGTACTTTATTGTTAGATGTAAGTTATCTTGTATCTTCTGTGGTTTAAACGAATTCTGGAAACTTTTGTTACCTTAAGACATCTACGAATAAGGCTGTATTACAGATCCTATCATTTGATACTTCAGAAGTATAAGTGAACAGCTCTAAGATATCCTACAATATAACTAAAGTTTTCGTTATATACTTACATAGTTTGTTACGTTTTCTAATTTTTTATTTTTCACTACTTTAAATGATCTTTTTTCTTTCGTACTTTCTGGAATTCGAGTCATTATTTACGGGTCTAATTAATTAAAACTTATTGCTTAAGTAAACTTTGCGAATGAAATAACTCGGGAGATCAGTTAGATGATATATAAAGTAGCTAATCACGTTCAAATAAAGCTTGTTGAAATTTTATTTGAATCTGAAACAGTGTAATTTACTTATACAAAGCTGCTGCAGTTGAATCTGAATGCGGAAGAATTTAAATGAAAAATATTTACTGGAGAAAATATGTATATTTATTGACATTTTATACGGATCATCGTGTTTTTGACACTGGCGAATGATCCACAACTTCCACCAAATGTACCGCAAAAATTCCGGTGCAATTTCTGTCAAGATAAAGAATGATACTCTTATGGAAAAGTGCACGCAATGCTTTTCTGCAGAGTCTACTGACCTCAAAACTATGTAACAACATGTGCTTACACTTACATACACTTCAATCCGTTGGGTATATCTATTATGCGTGGAAAGAAAATGTCGGCTGATTTACAACAAGTATTCATTTTACCTAGGCGTTCCCGTCTCACTGGTAATAAATTCACATGAGCTTGTCCATCTGTTTTCTTCGCAATTTTTCAGCCACTTTTATTCAACGAAAAGCTGCACGACTATGTATCTATCTACATATATATATACATCTTCAACCACATGAGCTACGTGAGTGTTAACTACAAGTTTGTCAAATAAAATAGCTGCGAGCTTTAAATAAAATAAATGTGAGAAGCCAAAATATTTTTTTAAATTCTTCTGAAGATTCTAGTGATGAGAATAAAATAACAATTAAATAATTTTAAATAAATTCATTAACAATTAAAAATAATTTACTCTTAAAAGAACGTTTAAAGCATAAAGATATTTTTCAACAGAGAAAAAAAGAACTCCAAAATTGTTTGGATAACTTTGATCTTTAATTCATATTATCAAAGTTTTAAATACTGTTGATATAATTAATTAATTAAAGGATATATTTTAAATCCTCTATATTGTTTATAAATAAACAGTAATAAAAATGACAAAGAAGTCAATAAAAAAAGTTTGTTCAAAATGGTGGACTTTTGAGGGCAACAAAAATGAAAGTAAACAAAGCGAAAGTATTTGAAGAAATAACCATTAGAAAATTCGATAAAATCGAAATGATTTCTGAATGACAAATTTTCTGAGAAATTATTTAGGTTACGAGGAAATTGTTTGGCCTTGAGTAGACGTGAGACAAAGGCTGAAGGTAATAAATCAGTCTCGTTAGATAATATCGTAAATACGGTATTTAACGTCACAAATGTTTTGAATTGATTCTGCAAAATTCCCACCACACTAACGAATGGTAGAATTTGCAGTATCAACAAAAATATGCCAGTGTGGTATTTATTCTTTTCAACTTCACATTCCAATAACTTTTGAAATAATGCTCCGATTTTGATTATCTAAAATTTGTGACAAAGATAAAATCCAGATCTTTAAAACAACATTATTTAATGTGTTGTACAAAATTTTGCTTGAATAAAAAAAAAAAATAACTTAAGTAAATAACTGTATGCCATTAATCAATAGCAGATAACTGATGAAATTTAATGAATCATTTTCAGCTGCTTGGATTCATTAATATAAATTAAAATTATGTATGCCCTGATTAACTAACCCCAACAAATTTAAAACAATAAAGTATTATTCTAATAAAATTATTATTAAAATTAATTTCATAACAGTTTTTGATTAATTATTATTCTTTTCTTATGTAAATGCTCATAAAGCTCATAAAAGAGCTTATGAAAATTTTCTTCTATTTTATTAATTAGAAAAAATGTTTTTTTAATGAGAAGTCGTTGAATTATTTATAAAAGTTGCATACTCTCTTTGTCACTTAACAAAATATGTCGAGAAAAGATGAACACATTTATGAAGACCTATTGAGTCTTTATACTGCTTTTATAGTATACCTGTCAAGTTAAGAATATCTTCTTTGTGATTAATGGAGTAGTTTATACTAAACTTATACATTTATGAAATGATACATCTTTATTTAATAGAGTAAATGATAATGATTGGCATTTGAAAAATTTTGGCATTTATTCTTCCTCTAGAAACTCTGATTTTAATGGTAGTGCCAAGAGAAGTGCAATTCACTTGTATACATTCAACGTCTGTTTTTCACCAGAGACCATAAAAAAGCCTTAAAATATCGATTTAATTTTCGTGAGGTTTTCAAAAGGATTTCACACAGTATGGTTATAATGTGAAGTTTATTGAACATAGCAAAAGAACAATTCACATTTCTGTTTGTGATAAAAAAAAACGATACGATGAACACAGTTGGATTGTTAACAACACAAAAATGATATGTCATAGTTTTGATCAAAGTGCCAGAATAAACTGTATGGTGTGGCGAAGATGGCGTCTGTTTGTCGAAAAGTGTGCGGTTGAAAACCGTGGTGAATGCATCGGTAGAATGAGGCTATAAAGGAAGAAATATATTG